GGTTTGTTCATTGTTATATTGACCTAATTCAGCCTGAACCCATGGGATATTGACAGATTAACTGGTTCAGCTCATGTGTCGAAATTTCAGCCTGCACACCACATTCATTCTATCAGTCTGCTGACCCAAGCATATCTAACGGACGGAGTGCTTACGAGAGCAATCGCTGTCTGCTGGTGGAGATGTGGTCATCCCTGAACTCAGTTTTTACCGACGAATATGTCAGTCATTTCGCTTGGTGAATTCAGTTAATTGTTCAAGACATAATTGACTGGTTGTTAATTGACTGCTTGCATGCACGTGTGTCTGACTGTCTTTTGTGCGCAAGCTCAGGTCGAAGGGTGTCATTGCCAGTGACCTGACTGACCTTTGCTCTCACGCTCTAAAGGGAGAGGTGACATAAGTCGTTGATTAAATCGCGGCGGATAAGACATCAGGAAAAATCTGGCTGATAGCGGGTAGCATTGGTGAAGTTTTGTCCGGCCAAACCCCACTGGCTTAATGGCTCAGGCCGGCTGTCATTCGGATGGCTATGGACGAACTGTACTGTTAAAGTAGCCAGGTTGATTGCTCAACATTTCGGCCACTCTGTGGAAGTGGAAAAATCGTTTTTTTTTTCGAAACGACAAAAAAGGAAGCCAGTCAGAACGCTCAACTTTTTCGACATCATTTGCACCGAAGTTGATGCAGATATTTTCAAACAGGGTGTGGTTATTTTGCTACCGAGTGCCTTCTAAACTCCTCTCGAATGAATGTTTATTCTTGGCTTATTCTCTCCGCCCATTAAGCAATCTTGGTTGTCTGGAGGCGAAAATCGGTTATTAGTTGGACCAAGTTTGAAACCAGTCAAGAAGTTACCCTTTTAGGCGGATTTATTGGCTGGCTGTATTCTATTTTTGACATGAGTGCCTCGTCAGGCTAAGTGCAGGTTTTTGCTTTTTTTGGGGTAGCGCAATAATTCAGTGTTAAATGACAGCTTCCAGTACTTTTTGGGTTAGTGTGAATGCGACCGATCAGTTAGGGGTTTGGAAGACTTACCGGCAACTTGGCGTCCATTGATCAACATTATTTCAGCCAGTTTGAGGAACTGATTTTGCTGACGGATAGAAGTAACAGACGTTTTGTCTGCCTTGTGAAACAATTTTAAATGATCTGCAATTTCCCTGAGATTTTGGCCAGCTCTGCATTGACTTGCCCAACCCAAGTTCCACTAGAATCTTACATGTAATTCAATTCAGGGTAATTCAAGGTTTAATGGTCTAAAAAGCACTTAAATTCACAACGACCATAGGGTGAACGTATATATACAAAGGGACGCAAAAATATGCGTAATGCTTACTGAGTATCACATGGAGTTAAACAGTTCCAGATTCGGTTTGGTTGAATAATTGGTTGAATAATTGTAATGGCCATACCAGATGGTGCCCAAGAAATTCGTAGAAAGGGGGACATAGAATGATACTCGAAAGAAACTTCAGTGGGTACCATTCGGCATCTGACTACATGTCACGTGACCTAACAGGAGTATCACAGGAGTTAAACAGTTCCAGATTCGGTTTGGTTGAATAATTGGTTGAATAATTGTAATGGCCATACCAGATGGTGCCCAAGAAATTCGTAGAAAGGGGGACATAGAATGATACTCGAAAGAAACTTCAGTGGGTACCATTCGGCATCTGACTACATGTCACGTGACCTAACAGGTGTGAACCGCCCCGGGCATATAAGGAAACGGCAGCTGGTACCGAATTTGTCTATACTGTTAGAAGTGGAAGCTTATACACAAGTTGTTGGGTAGTAGACGCTGTGATTTTATACAAAACACACGTCCTATCTATTAGTGGCGGACAAAATATTTGCAAATTAACTGCCTTTTGTGTATCTGGTCTTGTCTAAGAGTGGAAACAAATACTCTCATGCTCAAACATCCTCAGATGTGCAAAATACTAAATGACTTAAGGAACGTGAGTCAAAGATAACCGAGTGATTAACAGGCACACAACTCAGGGATGGATGAACAGCCCTTTCGTTTCCGTTGCGACACCATTGGTGAAGAGTCTATTGATATCTATCGTACTAAGTCACCCTATTTATTAGACTTTGCGGACTGAAAACCCTATATGATATTTTATCTAACCCGAACAGATCCTTCAAAGTATGTGAGTAGCGCTCACTAGATGGCTGAGTTAGTTAAAAGTCTCACGTTTACGAAAGCTCAATCCAGTATTTTGGGAATCCATACTGCTTTGTTAACCGGGCCTCTTGTTCATCAGCCGAATGGCACACTAAATTGCATCAACAACTGCCTGCTCTGTTAAAACATGAGACCTTTCTCATAATCAGAGCGTAATAGTTCAACCGCAGGATGAACGTTTCGGTAGTTACATTGCTCAGCGAAATTTCAGTAAGCCCGTGTTGTCTACGATACTACTGAACTGCTTCAAACCTTTGTGCCGCAGTTCCTTAAAAGTCTCACTTTATTCTTGGCTTGCTGGGTGCAACACATGATAGCGTTGAATCTATTTTCATCCGTTCCTTACGAAGAACCTGAAAATTGCGGGTTATAGTTTTACCTGATGTTTATACGGCGTTGTGGCCGAATCCCGAAAAGTTCAGCCATACGAGAATATGGGACGAGGATATGTGGCTACAGATCGGAATTAAGCCCTGAGGTTTACACCAATGGAGTCGCATAACTGAGGTTATCTTTCATAAAGGAAACTACTCACAAGGTTGCTGAAAACTCTTCGACAGCCCACGACCGGTTTCTTCCTTCTTGCGGCTCATCAGGTAGGCGCAGTCCCTGAGTTTCCGCCAACCTTATATTCTACTTGAACCAAAATTGGACTGTTTTCGAGAACTACACTCATTTGCGAATCAATTTGGTTTTCACGAGAGACTCAACTGAATCTCTCGTTTATCATATTCTACAACTGAAAGTGCTGCGCGCAGGCCGCCTCATGTTTTAGTTGGCACGATATTCGAGATATCGCAGTATATTTTCATAAAGGAAACTACTCACAAGGTTGCTGAAAACTCTTCGACAGCCCACGACCGGTTTCTTCCTTCTTGCGGCTCATCAGGTAGGCGCAGTCCCTGAGTTTCCGCCAACCTTATATTCTACTTGAACCAAAATTGGACTGTTTTCGAGAACTACACTCATTTGCGAATCAATTTGGTTTTCACGAGAGACTCAACTGAATCTCTCGTTTATCATATTCTACAACTGAAGGGATCATCAGACACACTCAGCGGTAGAAGAATCGTCAGATGAATAAGTGGATCATTTTTAGCCTCCAATATTCGGAGGCATTCTAGTCAACTCCTTTATTTCCAGTGTGTCACACGATTCAACATGCCTGAGGATTTCCATTTTTTTCCTGCTTATGCATTTCATGTGACACACTTGAACACTGACCATCTTTGCCACTGTGCACATGACATCAGTAGTCAGACATTGTTGTCATGTCTCATTGTGTGTCGCCTGTAGACAACATCATGGAAGGGGCGAATTATCACGCCAACTTTAAAATTTCTCAAGTTGTGTACACAGAAACTGGAAATTCAGAACCACAATCCCCCAGAATTCGTTTGCACAGTGCTTTGTCCCTGGAACACATTCCTTCATTGCTTTAGGGCTGATTGACGGAGCAGATTGCCTGTCGTCGGGAATTTATATTCAGTAGTTGATTTGAGACACATTCTATTATTAATTTAGTTGGACAGCGCCACTAAGCCTCATAAGAGGTTGATAGAAAACGTTCCCCTGTTTTCTAAGTGATTCCAGCTTGGTTTCCTAGTTTACTAAGTTCAGGCTTGATTACGTTCAAACGCAATGGATTCTCCAGTGATCCATAATGCTACCGGGAAACCTGATAGCTGTGAGAACTGACCCGCGTTGAAGATTAATCATATCACGGTCGAGGGTGGCAGACTCAACCTAGCTTGGCTCGTGACCAAAACCGATGACGTTGAAATGCTCTCAAGTTACATACTACGAAAAAAAAACTACGCGGCTATGTTTTCAAAAACCGCATGCCCTTTAGGCAAACTAGGGAGAATATCATAAAACTTCACGTCATCCGCTCATCCGGAACCGATTTCCATTCTGTGGCACAGAGGTGATAATGGTTTAGTCAATTTGCATTCCACATGTAAAATCGATTAGGACCTCGATAAATACTAACATGCATAGTGTACGAGATGAAATGATTACCTTGTTTAAGACGAAAAGAGAAATTGTTGATCCAAACTTTGTTTAGTTTTTGCCAAGTTACGTTGCAGAAAAGACCCCCTCCCCGACCCGGCCCCTGTGTGAAAATTCACTAATTCCAGATCTCAATCTTTTATGCTGTTGGAACTTTTGTGACCTAGATTCCAAGTACTCGTCACACATGTCTGCGGGACGCGCACGACTTATAACTTAGGGGACTGGAGATGTCAACGCAGTTAGCCGGGGTCCACGTCTACAGAACTCAGCTTTTTATGCTTCGCAAGCTACTCTCATTTTCAAACGAATAGAGGTTTGGCGGGAGACTCGAATTCATCTTCTTCAGCTGGACTTGCTGCACCAGGGTGCTTCATGTTTCAGTTGGTTTGGTGCCCCAGTATTGCCACACATTGTGTAGACTCGACATACTACTCATAAGCGCAGCCGACTGGTTTCGTTTTTTGGTTCATCAGATAGGCGCATTTTCCGAGTTCCCGTCAACCTTATGCTCTACTTGAACCCAAATTGGATGGAATTCGCTATTTACTCTCACTAGCATACCAGTTTGGATTTTCACATGAGCTCGACTGAATCGCGGTTGCATTCCTCCTTTTTGATGTGGTCCGTCCGTGAGCTTTCAGCAACCTCATCGGCGTTAAATATCCCACGAAGTGATATTCATCTCATTAGTATGGCTGAGAAAATTAGGAATGAATGACTGCTTACTGTCTGTCTCACAACCAAGTCATCGATTTGCCGTAAACTGTTTTCCCGTTTCCTTTCGTTTCAGTTTACCTGGTACACTGGAAGTGTGCACATTGTTGCCAGACGTGAATTCGTCGATTATATCCACAATAATCCGAAAGCCATCCACCTGCTCAACGTCCTGAGACATCATGAGTTGACCAGAAACGTGCGAACCATCACAGACGAGACATTCTTTTCCACACTGAATCACAATCCGGATACGTTTCCTGTGCCCGGTGCGTTTCTGGGCGAACACGAACCGAAAGCCATCAAGTCTGTCGCACGCTACAAAGTTTGGGACTGGCAGGACAAACCTTGTGGCACCGGTTATTGGGTGCGAAGAATATGCATGCTTGGATTAAAGGATTTACCATCCCTGCAAACTGCACCAGAGTTTTTCGCAAACAAATTCATTGTGTCCGTGGAACCGGAAGCCTATGACAAACTGGAACAGTGGATCAACGAAAAGGTCGAGTACGAATGTGAACGAAATGAGCTACACCCTTCGTTTAATCGGACATATTACTCCTCCTTAGAACTGAGTTGGAACCATTTGTGAATACGGACAATCCGGGGACATCCCCTGGCCCGCCAGTGATTTATAAGTCATATCGCATCCACTCACACGCAGACACATACTTTGCTCTAGAAATAACAGAAATTCAGACAACAACACATAGATTTGCAACCTTGTTTTCGCCAGAGTACACCGATCAAGTAGTCAGCTTTCTGATCTGTACGCACTCTCTTTCCAGTGTGGTGGGAATATACTTCCTCCAAAAAGCCCCCCCTAATCCCCAAACTGTACATGACTGAACAGTGTACCTTTTTTTACCGAGTGCCAGTGTAAAATGCAGCCAAAAGCAGTGCCTAATGATGATGATGATTTGTCGAAAGTTAAACAAATCCGATGTATTTTTTTGTTAACTTCTGAACTTGTTATTGCTGCATTTCGAACGTGGTGTTCTTGGGGAATCGCTTTTAATAAAGCCTCGTCGAACCTTCAAAGGTATTCAAGGGGTAGAAGACACAGGATTGAGTAAGATAGGGAGGCAACCATACCCCTCAAAAGGCATTTTACGACAACGAAGCGGCAGTCTTTAAACACTAATTTTATGGTGCCCATTATGACCAGACATCAGGGGTCAACTTAGTCGAAAGGGGAAACATGGAGCATGCTTCACGGAGATTTTAACCTGGAGAGTTTGACCCCAATCTTGAAAGACTGGTAATCAAAACAATTTTTGCAAAAAAACTGTAAAAGAGAATCTTGAAGGTCAGAATTTCCAGAGAAAACAAAGCCTAAACGTGTTTCAGAAGGTATCCGAGGACTGGAGTTTGATAAGCATGACTACAGTCACAGTCAGGAGAAAGATGTAATCGCCAACCGTTGGTATGCACATCCAAATAAGTTCCACGTCCCTACAAAGGTCTGAAACAATATCAGGTTATGCTGTACGATTGCCTGTTCACTAGCCGGCAATGCGATTGGGCATTATCTTCAACAACACATGAAGGTTGACCATAATCCACTCCCAACGGGGTTTGTCCCAGAAGATTATTTTGCCGACATTCTCGATATCGGCTAAACTCCAATCTCCTAGCACTGTTGAAGCCATTTTATGTCAGATGATGCATACATAATATTAGAATTTAGTTCTCCAGACTGACCAGATTTCTGATCCTTGTTTCACACAGAGTTCGTGGGGTTCTCCTTATCGCACCGCCTAACTACGTTCATTCATACGGAAGCCAGAGTTCAACAAAACCAAAGAAAGTATAGTTATTGATATAATCCTATAATTCAACATCTCTTCTAGCAGTTATCTTAGCGGCAGTCCGAACTGGGTTAGAATACGTACAGTAGCGACCACCCTCCACAGTCATTACACGCTCCTTACCATCTCGTGAGCTTCTAGTGGTTACTGGACAACTACCGACTGAGGTAACTTGAAGTGTACCTCGGACCCTAGCCTAATTTCCAATACAAACCAAGCTGAAGGACTGATGTACTCGACGGACCTATTCTACCTGACAAATAAATATTGCACTAGCATTAAATGTGGTTAGGTTTTTTCTTCAAATGACTAAAGGCCTCAGAGCACTTCGTGCGACATTAATTCAGTTGTTCCCCTCTTGAGACACTGCTGGACTGGAGTGATCAAAACCGCTTCTCACAAATCTCCAAGGTCCTGTAAGAAGTGCGATGTTTCCAAAGAACAGCAGCTGTACCTGGAAAGAAGTGAGAAACTATTGGGCAGTTTTAGTAAATATGTCACTTTACCTGAAGTCTGCGTAACAACATATGTATAATTGATGGTGGATAAACCGAAATACTGCTTAAACTAGCGGCACCTAGGGATGACAAACAACTTTTAGAACTGACAACATTCAGTAAACTCTCATTGGACCCCAGTAGTATCGATTTCAGTGAGCGAAAATGCGGTTAGAAAACTGTAAAACGGTACCTAAAATGTATCGCGAACAGTAATCACCTCCAACGAAGCGCAAAGGCCTTTAGAATACTCCAGGAGACTTTGATTCAAACAATTCAAATTGTTTCGAAACAAGTCGAATCGAAAAAGCTTCACAAAATTTGGCTTTTGGAGACGTAACGAAGGTTTGCTAAGAAAACTATTGAATGCTTGCGAGTGTGGTGCACGAGACAACATTCAGAACGAAAATAATAAGTTTTTGGCTTTTTAACAAGTCCGCGGGGTGTGACTGAGCAGTATTTCTCAATTTCGAATGAACGTGCGATGTTGAGGAGGATGCTGGCAGTTCAGGTAGTGCGGATGATCGACGGTTTTTTATTGTGAACACTTCATCACCAATAGATCTGACATCATCGATGCGTTGTTAGGAAGTACTCCTTGACAGCGTATCGATGATGCCATCTTGATTGGCGATGAAACGCTTGCAGTCGAATTGCCCAGCTCAGCGAAAAAACCAACAGCCATTTCCAATTGTCTTCGGAGATGTTATCGCCGAAGGGTTGCATAACAGGGATTAAAACAACCTGATAAGGCCCATCAAATCGGTAGAAGAAAACGGAAAAAGCAAAGGCATCCAGGTTGTCACTGAATGTTCCCCAAATCTAGTAAAAAAAAACATGTGGGATTTTCCTCCAGTCTTTGAGGGAATCAGAAAGGCAGCGATACCAGCTTTTAAAATGAGATTTAATGGGAAATGATGCGAATAGCAGGAAATATCCGTTTGGTAGGTTTTATTTGGTTTTCATTGCCGTATAACGTAACGTTGTGGCAGCTAAGTAGCATTTAGCCATGCCAGGGGTGATGCCGGGAAACGACAAGATTTTCCAGAATCGTGTCTCACCTTATGTACCTACTATAAGACTAAAGTCGACACCGTGGTGGTCTCATTGAAGCCATCTTGGGGGATATAGACCCAATGGATTATGGAACGAACGGCTTATGGCAACCTCATCGTACCTACGGTGGTCGACGGACCTGGCTACTGGAAGATCTCTAACGTACATAGAACGGTGCATTGAACGGAATTTTGTTTCTGAAGGATATCTGAGTTGCTTGGAAGTTTAGTAGACCACTGGGAGCAGTGTATTGTGTTTAGTTGACGGAGCAATCACAAGGAATATTCAGCAAGCCCACATGGATGCCTGTGTAAGAAACAAATTGTAGCGGAATTCCTTGGTCGGTGCTCCATAAACCATAAGTACCCACAGTTCAACCGTTTTCTTTCTCTGTTGCGTCTTCAGACAGTGCTGCGCACAATGGAAGCTAGATATCCAAGTGTTCAGCATGACTGTTCAAATGTGTTTATAACTGTGACCGATTTCAAAGTACTTTTGTATCAGCAACGTGAGAACAACAAGGGTACGCGCAAGAGTTCTATACTAACTTGAATCTTAATTTGAAAGCACTTTTATATAAACAATAGTGTATCGAGGCAAATGCACTTATTTTCAAATCGATTTGGTTCTCACGGAAGACTCAACTAAATCTCCCGTTTATGATATTCTGCAACAGAATGTGCTGCAATTAGGCCGCCTCATTTTACAGTTGGTACGATATTCAAGATGTCACAGCATAGTTTTCATAAAGGAAACTGCTCACAGGGTTGCTGAAACCTTGTGAGTAGTTTCTATTATGAGAATAGTGTATTTGGTTGTGCATGGTTGCGGCATTAATGGAGTGCTCTCTCTCTCCACTCTCGCTCCTGTCCTGGCACAATCATTCTGGTGAGTCCACACCCAAGGACGAAGCACTGAACGCGAGTTTCGCTCATCGGCCGTGCCGGCGTTTGAATTCCGCTCATCTGACATGCGAGGCAAGCGTGTTAACACTAGTCTACCAGCTCACGCCGGGTGCATCTGAACGATCATTTCTGAACAAGTGAACGTGTTCGAGCCTGATTGATGTGATTGGTGTGCCCGACGTCTCGAACGACGACCAAGTAATGTACCTTGGTTGTGTCGATCGACTGGTCCGCCTCTCAAGACTTCAAAGTCAGGTAGCGCCACAGACATTTGAAACCTACTGGACACGTTTTTGTCTAGTTGTAGGTGGTTGCGAGATTGATGGGATTTGGGAGAACAAGCACAATGAGGGTAAGTCGGCCAGTGGAATCGATAGCACCATGGGTACGTAGAAAATCGGGACCACAGATATCGTTCCTCGTTCGGTTGGTATACCTCCTCAGGATCATTGAAAGCGGCTCCAGGCAACATTTGAAAGGGGCTTAGAAGAGAGCTTTCTTCATATGAATAAAAAAACCCACGCATATCATTAACGAAGCCATTGACCAAGTACATTCCGATTCTACCGGTAACATCTAGTTTGAAGTATCGCTGTGAAAATAAGACAATTTAGGTTTTACCAGGTAGGATGATGGATCTTTAACTAATCTTTTCTACTCTTTCTTATAGTTTCCAGAACCACTTTAGTTAAGGCAGGGAGCCTGTATCGTCTCGGGCAAAGGTGGTTCTAACTGGGCAGCACTGATGAAGCCCAGATTGGGAATATTCAGTCAAAATATTACAGTGGAAGGATGAATCCGGATATGAGTAGGGTATGCGTAGGCAACGGACGTTGGGATACGAAGCAAGAGCACAATTTCCACAGGTGATAGTGAGTCAGAATTGGAAACCGAGTTGAGCGTTCAGTTGAATACGGAAGCAAACTAGCTTGGCCATATTAGTATCGTTACAAAGTACTGCTTAAACTACTAAGGTCACTATCGCGGACACACACTGTTTTATTGGAAAGTGCAAGAAGATTGGTGGAAAACGAACCCCGCAGATTGTTGGAGGAGACGGAGACAAAGAGAAACTGACCAAAATGATGTGTGAAAAATATGGATTGGAAACTTATTCCCGACCAGAATCACATTAAACAACTCCGTCATGTGTCTCTTAGTTAAGCTAATTTTTTTAAAGAAAAAGTACCCCCAGACCAAAAACAAGCCCTCTAAGTTTACAAAAACCTGGACCGGGAACAAAGGAATGTTTTCGTATACCCGATGAAGTCGGCGGACACTTTTCAAGCATGGAACTGCCTGAAAGCTATTTGTTAACCGTATGATATCTGAATTTTTTCCACTGAATTTCCAGCCCAGTACATCTTTCAGCTCTGGGCGATGTAAAACTGCCTCTTGAGGTATGTGTTGTCTGTGTGGCGGTGTGTGACACTGAGCATGGTTCATTACACCGTTTTAAATGTATACGCGTGAAATGGAGTTCCATCCAGTAATCCGTAAGGAGTGCACGAAAAAAGCCGGCCAAAATCAAAGTCGCATGGTGCAGCGCCTATAACCAAAGGGGAAATGAAACCACCAGTTCCGACTGGGGAAGACTGAACACCAGTCTCCGAATCACTTGGGCAATATGAACAAAACGGGTAATCATTCCTCTCCGGTGGTCTCGA